TATGGTGTAATTGAGCAATATATGAAAAATAAAAGAACTATGAACTAGTTAATTTTTTAGAACTGTGAACTTAGTTCAAAATTTTGAATGATGAACTATGAACTGAACTAGTTCATTTTAAAATGTGTGAACTGAACGTTGAACTAGTTCACGTAGAAAGAGAACTTTCCCAACACTGCCTGAGCCACTCTAACTAGAAGCTTTATCAAAAAGGAAAGTTTTAAGCCTAGCCTTAAAGTAGACAGGGTGTCTGCCTCACGGACTAAAACTGGTAGTTGGTTCCACAGGAGAGGAGCCTGATAACTAAAAGATCTGCCTCCCATTCTACTTTTAGAGGTTCTAGGAACCACTAGTAAACCTGCAGATTGAGAGCGAAGTGCTCTGTTAGGAACATAAGGAACAATCAGATCCCTGATATCAGATGGAGCTTGGCCATTTAAGGCTTTATATGTGAGAAGGAGGATTTTAAATTCTATTCTGGACTTCCTGACAGTAAAGAATTACAATAGTCCAGCCTTGCTCAACCACTGGACAGGATATTTCGGATTTTTATGATGAAATAGATGTGAAAAGAAAATTCTTGAAACATTTTTGGTATGGGATTTAAAGTGCTAATCAAAATGAACATTTTAATAATTAACAAATTATTATTTTCAACATTATTTTCTGAGCACATGCCTCGGCTTCATAGACAGATATAGCTGACTATCATCAGCATAACAGAGGAAATTAATCCCATGCTGTTTGATAATTCTACTAATTGGAATCATATATATATAGTAAAGAGAATAGGCCTTAGCACAGATCCCTGTGGTACTCCAAAAAAAAGAGTATTTATCATTAACATGAGCAAATATAAATCTGTCAGATAAAGTAGGTTTGAACCAGTACATAACATTGATTCCTACACAATAAGTTTCGTTCTTGCTTATTTTTAAGCAACCCTTCAGCAATCAACAAGTCTTGGCACTGGAACTGAACCGACAACCTTCTCTTCGTTGAGAGAAAATTGGTCTGTTGATTGATCATAAATCATCACCATTGCTAACGGGGAAGCACCTAATCATGTTTAATTCTGTTATCTCACTAGCTGACGTATGTAGAGCTTTATCGTTAGCGGGTAATTGAATAAACCGTAATAAAATATGCCAAACTTTAACCCAATTCTAACAAAGAGATTTACATTGTAAAATCTAAATATCAAATAAAAATATCAGTGTGAGAACATAACATATACGCTGTTCTGAATGAGCCTGGGGCTATCATTGACTTTCCTTCAGAAATGTCAGCCAGTGTTTTATATTTTAGGTGAATTTTAAGCTTGTCCGTGTTGCTGCTCTGCAGGAACCTTTGGCGCATTTGGTTGCTCGTAGCAACGACATTAAAAATGCCCAGCTGTTAATGGATTTGCTTCGACTGCTGTTCCATTCATGTGGCTCCAAGTCTCTGGCTGAAAGGAAATGACTGGACCTCCTCCTGATTATTTTCTACAGGATATGAACTAAACACTTTTCATCCATTTTTTTATTTTAAAGGGGTTTTTGTCAGCATCTAACCACCAACTGCTGCAGGGGATGTAATTTAAGCTCCACCGGCCTTCTATGGGAAGACTGGACCTCATCCAGTCAGAGGAGATAAGAATCGAGGGTGGGGAAGATTTTATGGGTGTTTCCTGCCACGAGGAGTTGTCCATATCATGCCTTTGAGCTGAGGCTTCAAAGACATCTTTGAAGACAGGAGTCATGCTTGGTTGGCAGATCTGCAAGTGATTTCTAGATTACAACCCAAATGACTTCATTCATAAGAGATACTAAGCCCCAAATACAGCTGGTGATTATCGGTTTACTTGAGCTGCTGCTCATAGCCCTAGTCTAGGAGAGATGTAGCTAACTAAAGCCACTGCTTTGGTTACATCTGTATGAATTCAGCCATTCACAAGGCAGCATTTCAAAGCATTTAGGCATCTAGAAAATGCAGTTAGATCCAACTTTAACCTGTTTGCACCAACCCAGCAGCATTTCAGCACCGCAGAATGTTATTGCTGACCAAATAGAGTCCCTGTATGGCCACAGGTTCCAACCTACTGGGATAGTTGACCTAATGAAGTGTCATGATGTTCTAAGAGGTCTGACCCACATGCAGGAAACCACTCAGAGAAACCAGAGTGAAAGTTAAACCGGTTTATTAGGAGTCCAAATGGGTAGGATTCAGGTGAACTCAGAGAGCTGATTAACTGGAACTGGAAGTAGGAAGGGAAGTTCACAGAGGTTAGTTCAGGGTCCATGGGAACTTTGAACGACGTCTTGCAAAACAGATATAAACGGGACTCACGTTATGTGGAGAAAGGTTTCTTCCCAGAGATAGAGGGGCTCGTTGGAGGGCGGACAGGTCTTGGTTAGGTTGGTTCCTGAGGAGCAATGGAGCGGACTGCCACTTAGATTTCCAAGACAACTTGAATGGGACGTGTGGAGATAAATCCCCTGCTCAGTGTGAAGCTCAAACAAATCCTTCCAGGGGGAGAAGGCCAAAAATCCAGGATGACTTCCTGCCGAAAGGCAAAAGACAAAAACAACGAAATGTCTTGTTCCTTTTTCAAGAGTATCTCCGCTCTAAAAAGTCAGAATTTACAGGCTTGAGTTGACAGCAGCAGTGGTTTCAGCAAGAACCGATCGTTGCAACAAGAACTACAACCTCCACTGCAACAATCGGTTTTTAACTACTGTGCTTCGATATATTGGCAGAGAATCATCAGGCTTTAAAAACCTTTGTTGCAAACAGAGTTTCGCTGATCAGAGCAGCAACAACAGCAACTCGATGGAAGTATGTCCCTTCAGCTGAAGATCCTGCAGACCGAGCCTGCAGAGGCTTAAAAGCAGGGATTTGATGGAAAGAGGAACATGGATACATGGGCCAAAATTTCAGCTGAATGAAAATGACTGACCAGAGCAGCTGCTGAGAAAGAAAGAAATTCAACAAGATGATCTAGAATTTAAGAGATCAGAAACTGTAATGCAGTGAAAGCTGAAGAAAACATGGAACCAACGAATTACCCAATATAATGTGCTCTGGAGGTTAAAAGAAGGAAGACAGCAGTCCTCAAAAATGATCCAGACAAAGGAAAAGCATCCTGAGAAGCAAAGGTTAAAGTTGCAATACATAGGAAGAAATTTAATTGGACTCTGGAAATGAAATAACGAACCTGGATGATCTTGAAGCTGCTGAATCAGAAATTGTTCACTTCAGTCAAAGGCAACATTATGAGAAGAAAATCAAAAACCTTCAGAAAGCAGGACAGCTCCGTGGCAACAGCCAGTTGTTCTTCCAGCTGGAACACTGAGGGTTGGTGGAAGACTAAATAAATCTGCTCTGCCTCAAAAAGCTAAACGAGCTGAAATCCTTTCTAAACGCAACATTTCTGAACTCATCCTGACGGATATTCATCAAACAACTGGTCACTGCGGTCCAATTAGGTTCTGTTGAAACTGAGATGCAAGCTTTGGATTCATGAGCCAATTCAGCACTTAGAAAGATTATCAATAAATGTCCTACTCAAGGGCGGATTTAGGAAATGTGGGGCCCTAGGCAAAGACAGGCAGGGGCCCCTCTGAATGCAGAAGACATGAAACAGCCCCATTCTACAGACAGAGAAATGTTAATAGAATAGACATCCATTATCTGTTCTAGGTTGTGTCCCTCTCTTCTTGTCCCTTTTCTTCTTGTTTTCCTCTCTATGTTTTGTACTCAGCTGACTTTTCATGCTGTCTCTAAAGGAATGAAAGATTTTTTCCAAGCACTAAGCTCACTTAGCTGATTGCTCCTTCCTGTGTTTCCAAAAAGGCCAAAGTAAATAACCCAGTCCTTCTTTTCACTGTAGACAAGCCATGATCTGCTTATCTGTTCTCCATTTTTCATTTGGATGAAATAATAGCTGCATGAATCATGACAGCAGACAAGATAGAGGAGAATCTACTCGCTCTGGAGAGCAGAGTTCGCTGCTTTTAGATGTTGTCTCCAAAGTCTCCAGTAGCAGAAAAAAGTCTCTAGATTTGGCGCTAGGAGCTTTTTAGAAATCAAAGTGCTAGAGGGGTCTGAAAAGTGGCTAAATATAGCGACTAAAGCGCTAAGTTGGCAACACTGCTCTTTGCATGGTTTGTTTTCAAATGGTTTGCTGCTGTCTGTTTGGACCTTTCTGAACATGTGCAGCAAATGGACTGATCCAATATGGTGGACACTGAAGGGGGGGGCTGAGACACACTTAATATTATCAGCGTTCTGATGGCATTTTAGCCAAAGGATTTGTATAAAAAACATAATTAATGTGCACAAATAAGGAATTGTTATATTCTGCTGGAGGTTTCTTCCTGTTCAAAGGGAGTTTTTCCTCTCCACTGTCGCTACAAGCATGCTTAGTGTGAGGAATTGCTGAAGAGTCAATGAGTCGATGCAATCAGCTGGTTTTCCTTAGATAGAAAACTTTGAATCATTCTGACTGGATGATCTGGTGAACTGTAAAGTGACCTGAGATGACATGATGTGAATTGGAGCTATAGAAATAAACTGAAATGTTTAATCTTGACATGTATTGAGATAAATAGAGATAAAAAAAAACACACAGTCTACTATTTATATAATAACATATTTAAAACAAGACTTGAAAAAAGAATTTAAAGCTTCAGATTTCTGTCTTTCTTTGTGATTTGATGATAAAGAATTGATACTTATCCTCAGTTTCCAGTCAAACATTGATTGTTCCCTTTTTTGCTGATGAGTCTGAAACAAAAAGCTTGGATTGATGTGGAGGGTTTGGATCCGAAAAGCTGCTTGTTTGACTGTTCTCCTGAACAGAGCTCCACTGAACCTTTCAACTTCTTCAATTTCATAACTTATTTAAAAGTCAATATACTTTAAATCTCACTACTTTTGTCGTTTTTTAATCAATACATTTATACAACGTGGCTCAGAAATGCACACGTTGTGATTTCAGTTAATGGCTGGAAGGTTCACTCTGTGCTCAGCGATCGTTTCAATCCTAAGTCAGCAAACCTTCTTCCCTCCATGGCTTCCAGATGGTGGACCAGGACCCGACCAGGTCTGCTGTCTTTAGCTGATCAGAGAGAAACAGACAGATGGAAACGGAGGAATAGGAAGGATGTGTCACTGAGGCACCAGAAAATGACACGTCGCTGAACATGCAGGATGCTCCTCGCTCGCTTTGATCTCAGCTTTAGACCTCTAGATTCTGCAGCTCTGGGACTTTATCTGCAAAATTACAAAAAGGATGCACTTTTTTTTAGATTGCATCTTTAAAACTATAAATATCTTAGTGCTTCATCGTAGACCAAGAAAAAAACGGGTTTCAGGAACACACCAATGTCTTTCACATTATCTTTTCCCCTCTTCTCTTTTGTCTCCTTCTGGCTGCTTTGCCAGGTAAACTTCTTAACCTGTAGCTTTTTTTTAATAGAAGATAATCAGTGAATGACAGATATTAAATATTATTTTCTCTGTTAAGTTGGTACTGAAGCTCATTCCCACCACTTTGAATTTAAAACTGGATTTTCAAAGTCATAGTTATGAGATATGAAGTAATTATTATTAGCCATAAAGTCTGAATTTATAAGGTTCAAAGTCATAATTATTAGACATAAAAATTAATTATTAGATATAAATATGTATTATTGTACAGTTGCCTTTTGTATCTATGCTTCTTTTTCTATGTCTGCTTCTGTCTCCCTGAACCCCAGTGGGCCTCAGCAGATGGCCGCTCACACTGAGCCTGGTTCTGCTGGAGGTTTCTTCCTGTTCAAAGGGAGTTTTTCCTCTCCACTGTCGCTACAAGCATGCTTAGTGTGAGGGATTGCTGAAGAGTCAATGAGTCGATGCAATCAGCTGGTTTTCCTTAGATAGAAAACTTTGGATCAATCTGACTGGATGATCTGGTTGAATTATTTCTGTAAAGTGACCTGAGATGCCGTGTTGTGAATTGACGCTATAGAACTAAACTGAATTGAAATGAATTATTATTAGATATAAGGTTATAATTATGAGCTAAAAAGTCCCTAACCATTATTTATAAAGTGATCGTTATAAAGCAGAGGTCACAGATTAACGGACCGCAGTCCCAATACGGACCCAACCTGATTTAAAACATTTATAAATTACTGCATGTTGTCCGATGACAGTGTCTAACTGCACTTGCGCCTCTTCTCCTGTTAATACGGTAAAGCCCTGCGGAGCGTCCAGCTCCAGGCTGCACGTGATCCAAATGAGCCAATGAGCTGTCAGTCTCACTGCAGGAAAAGTGGGATTTTCGTCAATATGCGGCACTGTAGATTGTCGTGGAACTTCAGGTTAGCGGCAGTTTACGACAATTTGCAGGCTTCGCCGAAAACTCCCGTAAATTGTCAGAAATTGACGTGGACTTTGTTAGGCAGTGTTCCCCCCATGCCTCCCCCCCATGGAATTCTAGGGGAGGCTTTAACATGTAAATGAACATGCTGTGAGCTATACAAATGCAAATCAGGGTTGCAGGGGGGGTGACATTCTCCAAGTGACATTTTTCTAAAAGGTAAGAAAATCTCTGATACAAAGAGATCAGGCTCAGTATAGCCTCTTACATTTTAGCTTGAATTGATTTATTTAATTAAAGTATAGAGACCAAAACAGATCTTTAGCTGACAGAGCAATACATTTAGAGCAGTAATTATTTAAAAAAAAAATTTGCATTTAAGATAAAAAATAAAATATTGTCTGTCAATATGCTCAATTCACAATTACTTAAGTGGAAAAGTTTCAAGAAATGAGTCTGAGATGATTCACTTTATAACATGGCGCATTATCCTGTTGGAAGTAGCCATCAGAAGATTGGTACACTGTGGTCATAAGGTCCGGCCAGGTCAAGATCCGCAATTGCAATCGCACCAAACAGGAAAAAGAACATCGACAAATTCCGGTTCGTCAAATTAAAATATAGCAGCAACAGATCGGTGACTAGAAATTATAGCACAATTCTTATATATATAAAAAAAAAACTAACACTGTTTATTTAAATGATTGGATCCAAACTATTGGTTATTCACCAACGAGGAAGCAGATTTCTCATCTCCATCAAAATATTCATTTTATACCGAGGGACTTAAACTTTAATCAAATCCATTCAAAAGAAACTTCTTATTACAGGAATGAAAAGAGATGCTGAGTTTGGGAGTAGAGAAAAAGTTCATTCAAAAAAAGCAGTTTTGAATTATCCTTATCCCCGTTACAAAAATCTACAAAAATATATATATATATTTGGGCAGAAACTGAAAATATGCTGGATGATGGTGGGATTTTTTTAATATGTCATATTAAATTAAGCGCAGGAATGAGTGACTCTAATTTAATGCTATTTGAAATGATTTTATTGCCATCAACAAGAACCATGTACACAAGTTATTAGTGTACATGAAATATGAAGGACTGTAAGCAGAGTTCCATGACTCCTGTATGTATGTAAACACACACACACACACACATATATAAGTATATATATATATATCCTCTAGCTTTTTCTCCGCCTGGAGCGATATAATATATCTGACGAAATTGTTTTTATAAGCATTTTTTATTAAAGAATTATAAATACTTCGATAAACATATTTAAATAAATTTAGTGCCAATTAAGGCCTTGATTTAAAAAAAAAAAAGAATGATTTTTTAATTATTTTTATTGATCCGCGGAACTTCAGTAAAGTTAGAAAGATATTCACAGATTCGGACTTCCAGGATCAATAACTCTCGTTGAAACACAAATGGCGCCTCTTTCATGTCCTGATAGCACAGACTACGTATTACAAGAATCAAAAAGCGTTATTTTCGAGAGAAACGAGCCGTTCTCCAAGCTGGATGTATTACATTGATCTCTATGCACAGGCAGCGGCCAGGCGAGTGCTTAGGGACCGTCTGCAAATGGTAAAACAACAGCAAAATGTTGCAAATAAAAATCAATAACTCCACTGCCATAGAGTGCAGAGACTCCAAAATCACCACACAGACCAAGGGGCTCTTGGTGATCACACTACAGCAGCTGTTTTTGAAAAAAAAATACACTTTTTTAATTTTTTAGAATTTGTTATTGTTATTAACCATTAATATCATCCTATTTTGATCAATAGCTCCGTGATTATACAGTGCAGACTCTCCAAAATCACCACACACACTGAGGGACTCCAGATGAACATACTACAACAGCTGTTTTTGAAAAAGGCACCTTTACCTATTTTTCAGAATTTATCTTTGTTATTACAGGCATATAACAGCCAATAATTACTCTATGGACCATTGTAGTGCCACCAAACTTGTAGCACACACAGAGATACCCTCATTTGGATCATACTACAGCTCTTACTTTGGGAATATGGGCAAAACTCTATTTTTTCAGAATTTTTCAGTGCCATTATAAGTAAATATTTATCTACAAATACACTATTATAAACTGCAGCCACACCAAAATCACTGTACACATCTTTCACACTTTCCTGGTGATAATACACCTATTATTATATCAATCAAATAATATTTTATATATTTGGGTGTTTTTGGGGGGATAAATAAAGTACAACACCACTATTATGTACTGTACCTTCACTAAAATCACTGTACACATCAATCACACACAACTGGTAATAGTTTAAATGTTCAAAACAATGGAATATACTAACATTAGTTTTTCAGTATATAAAGAGTCCAATGATATGTTTCTCACTGAAAGAACCATTAACAAGTCCTGCAACTAAAGGCATTCTATGTTTTGTAGGATGCATATATCAAATGGACCATCAATCCTTTTTTTCATTTATTCAACATTAAACAAAAACACACAGTTATTATTACAAAAAACATTAAAACAAAGAAAAAAAAAAGATATCTTTTCAGTGAAATCTATTCACTCAAACTTAGTGGTCATAACATATTAATTCTGAACGATGAAATAACATTTTAATTAGTTCTGAACAGAGTAAAGGAACTGAAATATTTATAAATGATTAGTGCAAATGAAACAGGTCTTGAGTATTTACAGCATAGGCTACATCTTTCTGTACATTAGGTAATAAATTATTTCACATCTATATGACAAACCAATTAAGGTAATTGCTTACCTTTTTATTTAAGATTTCCTTTTCTTTATGAGTATACTACAGAGTAAAAAAAAACCTTGTTTTAATCTCTGTTACACACATTTCCAAGCACAGATATTTATTTCGATATTTGTATTTACATGATGTTTCAATGATTATGGTAGTAGTGAAATTCAATACACATAAAGACACCCATTTCTCATAATAGTCTGGCAAACTTAAAGACAGCCTCATCACTCAGGGCTCTTGCACAACTTACAATACCAAGGGATATCTTCATTTGGGATTTGTGCTGCTGTCATTCCAAGACACTTCGTGTGAAACCATCTTGTACAAGTTCCACACTGAATCTACATAGGGATAAAAATATTATACATATTTTAAAAAGGTTGAAATTAGCAAATATGTAATGCATTATCTGAGAAATTCAAGATTATCCACTATTCAGATCATCCACTGATTTAAAAAAAAAAAATCAAGACATTATCACCCAAACAGCATCAGCAGTGGTTGGCAGTAGTTCCTTATTTCCACAGAAGGAACAGAAGTCATCCTTTGCCACTAAAAATAATTAAGCTATATTACTGCCATGTTTGTAGGAAGTTGTCAACATAATAATGTAATATTTTGAAAAATACCTGAAGCCCTTAGAATTTCTTCTGCAATTTCTCTTCTTAGAGTTTGAACAGATTTTTTAGATGACTCTATGTGAAATTTCTGTGGTATGTTTGGAAATTCCATTACTGTCATCTTGGCCATCTAGACAGATGTCAAAACAATACATGTGCTATGAATGGTTTTGCACAATAAAGAAAAAGATGTTAATCTAAATTGAAGAAAATATTTTTCATACTATCACCTGCATGACAAAGATCCAACAACTGGTGGCATCTTTCTGGAAGGTGTGGGTTATTTTGCCAGGCTTCCACTTGATGTTAACCCAATCTTCCTTTCCAAGTCTATTCCGACGCATCTGAAAGTACTGTCTATAGGACAAAAGGAACAGAATTTTCTATGAAAATTTTCACGGACTATACGGCTAAATATGTGATTAAGGTACTCAGTCCTCATTATTTCATAATACCCAAATTTGTAGCCAGCCTTTTTGGAGTCCTCTACTTCATTTGAGCCTTCAAGAGGATCAACCACAAAAATCTGGTTTGAAAGGCTATGAAGATACTGTTAGAAACATTAAAATATCATTATACCAAACAATCCATAAATATGTTATCGACCACAACATCCACAATAAAATAAGTATAAACGTTTTAAATAAAATGTCCAAAATTGATACACAAAAATGTTAGTTGATTTACAATACTAAAGACAAAATAACAAGCCATTGCACATAAGTACCTTTTTTTTTTTTTTTTTTTTTTTTTTTAGACACTCATCAAATGTTAAACAGTAGTCATTCCAGCTAGATGAAATACAGAGCTCATAATCCTAAACTTGTGAATTTGTTGGTTGAGTCATTACAATTCTTAGATAAATACTGAACTGATATGAAAATTATGTAAGTAATACTACTGTAGCTTTTAATTGATTAGAGCTAAGTAGTCTTTTTCACAATTTTTAGGCTGGTAACCTTTGAATAAACCAACGAAGACTAATATATTAACGGCACATAATACTACATGGATAGCTGTTTTCTTACCACAAACCTCCAGTGCACATTGTTTACGTTGACAAATCCAATGGCTCCATCATAGTCATCAAATGTGACCTGACAAAAGAAGTGACACAGAAAATATGTACATTTTTCAAGCAACTTATAAAATGAATATTATTCAAAGTATTGTAATCCAAATTTTCTATGATCACATCAATGACTATTAGAAGTCTGATCTGAAGCCTGTGGATGGCCCAAACTCTGCAATAATGAAGTGAAGTGATACGCACCTTTTTTAAACCCTGCCTGGCCATCTGCTGTCTTGTGCCATGCAATATTACACCCATGGTGTAGTGATTCATGTGGTACAGTCGGCCAGCTGTATCCTTAGACTTGAGGATGGCTCCAATGTAGCATTCTATCACCTTTGAACAAATATTATATGAAGATCAATCATAGTGTTCATTATTAATGAAGATATTCGTCTATATATTTTAATGAGAAAACTTGCCTCTCCAATGACTAGTTCATCAGGCCTCAAACTCTGAAATTCTCTGTGTCGGAGGGTAAATGTGTGTTTCTGCTCTTCTTGATTTACTACAGCCACTACAACTTCTGTTGTCTGGCATTTCCAGAGGACATCCACCTACATGGATATGATTTAATAAAAAATAATCACTTCCAGCATCATTTGCAAAGTCATTCTTTTTTAAGTATTTCAGTTCTCTGTCTACATATCCTCTGACTACAAAAAATTGTTGTTGAAGTAACCCACCTCTTTTGAATTCATTACATTGTCCCACAATAATAACCTTGATTTTCCCCCCCCTATAGTATACACTACCGTTCAAAATTTTGGGGTCACATTTAAATAGCCTTATTTTTGAAGGAAAAGCACTGTACTTTTCAATGAAGATAACTTTAAACTAGTCTTAACTTTAGAGAAATACACTCATACATTGCTAATGTGGTAAATGACTATTCTAGCTGCAAATGTCTGGTTTTTGGTGCAATATCTACATAGGTGAATAGAGGCCCATTTCCAGCAACTATCACGCCAGTGTTCTAATGGTACAATGTGTTTGCTCATCTGCTCAGAAGGCTAATTGATGATTAGAAAACCCTTGTGCAATACATCTGAAAACAGTTTAGCTCGTTACAGAAGCTACAAAACTGACCTTCCTTTGAGCAGATTGAGTTTCTGGAGCATCACATTTGTGGGGTCAATTAAACGCTAAAATGGCCAGATAAAGAGAACTTTCATCTGAAACTCCACAGTCTATTCTTGTTCTTGGAAATGAAGGCTATTCAATGCGAGAAATTGCTAAGAAATGGAAAATTTCCTACAACAGTGAGTACTGCCCCTTTCTGAGGACAGCACAAACAGGCTGCTGTGGGTACTATTTACTGAAGATGCCAGTTGAGGACCTGTGAGGCTTCTGTTTCTCAAACTAGACACTCTAATGTACTTATCTTCTTGCTCAGTTGTGCAACGCAGCCTCCCCCTTCTTTTTCAACTCTGGTTAGAGCCTGTTTGTGCAGTGATTTTCCTTCAAAAATAAGGACATTTCAATGTGACCCCAAACTTTTGAACGGTAGTGTATGTTTCTAAGGTGGGCTCTGGTTGAACTATGTTCTTGAGTCAACCACATTGTATGAATAAAACTGCCAGACTGATGCTTAATGTGTCTTCACAATGTTTCTAGCTGTCAAAAATAAGTTGTAGTTCCACCATCACAAAATTTTAATGGCTTTAATTTAATGTATCTACCGAAAAAAGTACCTCTGTTGAGGGCTTTGAGCAGCTGTTGTCCTCATTTGTCTTCTGAAGATACACTATATTGCCAAAAGTATTTGCTCACCCATCCAAATTATTGGAATCAGGTGTTCCAATCACTTCCATGGCCACAGGTGTATAAATTCAAGCACCTAGGCATGCAGACTGTTTTTACAAACATTTGTGAAAGAATGGGTCGCTCTCAGGAGCTCAGTGAATTCCAGCGTGGAACTGTGATAGGATGCCACCTGTGCAACAAATCCAGTCGTGAAATTTCCTCGCTCCTAAATATTCCACAGTCAACTGTCAGCTGTATTATAAGAAAATGGAAGTGTTTGGGAACGACAGCAACTCAGCCACGAAGTGGTAGGCCACGTAAACTGACGGAGCGGGGTCAGCGGATGCTGAAGCGCATAGTGCGAAGAGGTCGCCAACTTTCTGCAGAGTCAATCACTACAGACCTCCAAACTTCATGTGGCCTTCAGATTAGCTCAAGAACAGTGCGCAGAGAGCTTCATGGAATGGGTTTCCATGGTCGAGCAGCTGCATCCAAGCCATACATCACCAAGTGCAATGCAAAGCGTCGGATGCGGTGGTGTAAAGCACGCCGCCACTGGACTCTAGAGCAGTGGAGACGCGTTCTCTGGAGTGACGAATCGCGCTTCTCCATCTGGCAATCTGATGGACGGGTCTGGGTTTGGCGGTTGCCAGGAGAACGGTACTTGTCTGACTGCATTGTGCCAAGTGTAAAGTTTGGTGGAGGGGGGATTATGGTGTGGGGTTGTTTTTCAGGAGCTGGGCTTGGCCCCTTAGTTCCAGTGAAAGGAACTCTGAATGCTTCAGCATACCAAGACATTTTGGACAATTCCATGCTCCCAACTTTGTGGGAACAGTTTGGAGCTGGCCCCTTCCTCTTCCAACATGACTGTGCACCAGTGCACAAAGCAAGGTCCATAAAGACATGGATGACAGAGTCTGGTGTGGATGAACTTGACTGGCCTGCACAGAGTCCTGACCTCAACCCGATAGAACACCTTTGGGATGAATTAGAGCGGAGACTGAGAGCCAGGCCTTCTCGTCCAACATCAGTGTGCGACCTCACAAATGCGCTTCTGGAAGAATGGTCAAAAATTCCCATAAACACACTCCTAAACCTTGTGGACAGCCTTCCCAGAAGAGTTGAAGCTGTTCTAGCTGCAAAGGGTGGACCGACGTCATATTGAACCCTATGGATTAGGAACGGGATGTCACTTAAGCTCATATGTGAGTCAAGGCAGGTGAGCAAATACTTTTGGCAATATAGTGTATTTGCCCTTCTTCAAAGCTTTCTTTGGAACAGGAACAGTGGTTGGAGCAGTGTAGAATTTCGAGTTTCCAGTTCGGGGTTTTGCTTCATCTCTCTTTGCCCAATTCTCCTGTGCTTGACCTATGTCCTTCTGTTGCATTGGTTTTAGGAGTAACTGCTCAGGTAAATGATGACACATGATGTGTTCTTTATATCTACCCTGTAGAGAGGTAAACATTTTCCTGACAAAGCTCCCTGGCCTCAGTCTCCTCTGCTTTTTTAGAATAGAATGTCTCACTATTCCAAACCATTTCTCCACATGGCAGTTTGTGTCCCTTGTTTTGCTTGGGCCAAAAGTGTCCTCTTCTTTGTCAGATGCAAACCTTTTTAAATTTCCCAAAAGCAGACCACTCCAAAGGGGAAAAAGGCCCAGGTAGTTGTCAAAAAGAACATCAACAACAACTGGGCAGTAGTAAGGATTGTCCACATCTTCATTGATTTCTGCATTCTCTTTTTCAAGCTCTCCTTGCACCTCCTTCAATACCTTCTTAAACTCATAGGTGAAGGGAGATTTGCCAACAATTGTTTGTGCATTTCTTCTTTCTTCATCACTTTCCTCCTGAGCTACAGGACTCTCTTCAAGAGTCTCAGTCTCCTCCACGTCAGGAATCGGCACTTTTTTTATTAATTCCTGTATGGCCTTCAGATTTTTCTGCACAGTGCTGGTGTTGTATTTGCCAGTTAATACTGTGCAGAATGAGCGGAAGATTGTAATTGCAGAGGCCATTGATGTTGTGTTTTGCAACCTGGCAAATGCAAATGTTGCAAACTCCTTTAACCCTTTATCATGTGTCTTTCTCCCAATAGCCTGTGCAACAGCTTTGAGCACATGTGCAGAGCAAATGTGAAGCACTATAAACATTTGGATCTCTTTCCATGTCTTTACTTTGGAAGAAATAGCAAAGGCCCTATCCAAATAGCTTTCAATGCTCTCCTTGTTGAATGACAGAAGGACACTTTGGAGTAGTGCCCAGCTGTAGTCTGTTTCCACCCGGTGTACTCTTATCTTTGTGTACTGTGACAGTTTTCTAAGAAACTGCATTAACCAGAATGTAATTTGTGGTATAGAGTGTTCGTTGGTCAGCATTTCACAGACTGGGAGTGGAGGTATATTCTGACCACCACCAGGAAGGGTAAGAGAGTAGTAAAGTACTCTTTTGGTCTGACCTGGAACTTTACAAACAACATTACCTGTAGCATCTAGGTACAGGGTCAGTGGAGCCTTCCTTCTCAGGTGTTGCACTGTTATGCTTATTCCAGTTTCTGTATACATGTGTACACCAAAGGGGTCAATTTGTAAGTGCTGTATGTACCCAGGCATCTTGTGGAAATGGAAGTCACATTCCTTCATGATCTTTTGAGTTAGGTACAGTACATCTCCATTAAAAGATCATCATGCACTCTTGTTGCTTTTGTAACCTCTGAACTAATCACCTTAAGCACATTTTTGTTTAAACATTTGGTTATGTTCCCTGAAATCAGTTCATCAACTGGTGCTTTTTTGAGTTTCCGATAGAACACTTGGCTCACTCCTTTGTGCAGGGCTTTTGCAATTCTCCCTCTCCGGGTTCTTGCGGCTGGTCTGAATTTTGTCTCATTTTTCTTGTGTGCCACTGTTCCTGTTTGCAGCACAGTTATCTTGACTTTATTGTCTCCCATTGGCTCCCTTTTCCTTTTAAAAAAGTATTTAGCACTGCAGGAAGGGATTGTACAGACAGCACTTACATTTAAATAAGGACTGTTAATTTTCCTGCTGTTGAGTGGTTTTATGTGCTGGCTCTTGAACGAAAGGATACAGCAAGGATTCTTTTTGCGGAAACTGCTATATAACACACTTGTCCATGGTTGCCTAAGTTTTGTGGAACCATGGACAATTTTTTTCCATTTCTTTATATTCACTGATATTGTGAATCTCTTAGGCACCACTGGCAACTTTCTCCATTCACTTTCATTTCTGTTCTTGACGTGTTTCAGTTTAGTTCTTTTTTTTAATGTTATTTTTTTGTCTTGCTCTCCTCCTACTTCATTCTCTTCGGTCTCTTCCTGAGCAACATCTTCATCATCTTCAACTGCACTCTCCAATGTCATTTTCTTTTCTTCTTCATGCACTTCATTCTTTTCTGTTTCCTCATCTGACACTACTGTAATATTTTGAGTCAAATTTAAAGGCAGATCCTCTGTTCCACTTTCTTCAAGTGCCACTGTATTATGTGTTTCATCCTCCTTTAGTTCCTGATTCATAATCAGATCCCTAACTCCATTCCGATTCTGGGTCCATATAACCCACAACCAATGACGATTTTTCTTCCTATCTTCACAAAATAGGTGTACAGATAGTTCAGACCATATCTGCGAAGAATAGGCTGTATCTCTGTTTGTTATGTTAACAGTTGTCATTGCTCTGATTATAGCTTCTTTTCCCCCTGCCAATGCCCATAGGTCTTTTCTCTTTCCTCTGTTTCCTTTTTTAACTCTTCCCATTGTCTTCAAATAGTCCAAAGCCTAGGGAAAGGTGAAAAGGGAAAAGCTAAAGCCATCATCTAAAAATGTGTGATAAAAATTGTGATAATTCATTGGATGTTTTTATGTGTATCTAAAAATCGAGGTAAAAAAAAACGCAATGAGTTGACACTTACACTTAATTTACACTGAATTTAATCTTTATGCATTATCAGACATCCCAAGTTCCAAAAACGAATTTCAAACCCACCCCCACCACCCCCCTAGACAACCGACCTGCATCGTGCCCCATACATACACCATTCATAATTCTTCACCTTCAGATGACATGGATAAACTTTAGTATATTCTGCTGTGAAATCAGTCTCTACGTTATTTTACTTGAGGATTCAACCTATTTTAAAAGGATGCACTGCTTTGAGTGGTAACTACATGACTATCAGACAGTAAACTGAAAAACTTGTTAAACATATAAACAGAGCATTGCTCTGGACAGATATATACTGCAAAAAAAAATCTAGAAATAAGTAAAAATTTCCTAAATTAAGTGTATTAACTCTTAATTTGAGTAGGTAAATGATATAGTTTGCCAATGGAGTGAGTAATTTAACTCTTAAAATAAGATAGTTAGATAATATGCACTTTAAATAAGACAATGCAGTTGTGTGATCTTATTTTAAGTGTAAATTGTCTTGTTCCATTGGCAGAATGTCTCTTTTACTTCCTCAATTCAAGAACAAATGCACTTATTTTAAGAAAAAAATTGTTTCACAAGCAACCTCCTCCCTAAAACCCCGCACTCTCTTGTTGTTTTCGCAGTCGCAGTAGCTCTAATCTGCACATGGTGCACAAATTACTGTATTGCCTGCACGCTCTCACTCATAAAAAATAAAAAAACAAACAAAAAAAACACCTTGCATAGTTTAAAATAAGGCTCGCAGGAATCCGTGAAAAATTACAGGAATCAGGTAGTAGACTTGGAATGTCTGCATTACGCGAAGTTAACAAACACTTAATTTAACCATTTTGCAACATCTATATGCATAGTGAAATAAAGATAAAAGATTACTTACATATAACAAAGGAAATACTGTGGCGGTAAACTGGCAAAGTACTCCACAGGCAAAAAGAGGTCATTCTCCATAGGTTCTGCAGTGAAGACTGAAATCTGCTGTTGCAAGTATTGCGATTGAACGGTAAGAGGTCAAATTGAGGTGAGATGTGCCACACCATTTTTTTTTGCATC